TGCCTGAGCTCACCTGTGCTCGTGGATGTAAGTCCAATTTTATCTGCAGGGGTCATTTCCTGTGGGAGCGCACAGGAGCACAGCTCCGGCAGTAAGGAATCCAGGGGGTGGGCACATACAACAAGCCCTGCCCCCTGCTCCCAGCAGCCCTCAGTCAGGCCCCAAGGAGCAAGAAGCAGCCAAGTAAGTTGCAGAGCCCCCACCCCCCTGGCCCGTCTTCAGGTACAAGCTCTCCCTCCTCTGTGAGGGCAGATCTGCACGTCCCCACCCCAATAGCTAGGAATCCAAAACAGTCCAGTGGCACCTTTAAGACCAAGTTTTATTCAGGTACAAGCTCTCCCTCCTCTGTGAGGGCAGATCTGCATGTCTTCCCCCCCCCCCAATAGCTAGCAATCCAAAACAGTCCAGTGGAGCCTGAGCAGTCGGTGTTGCCTTCTGACACACTTCTGGTGATGTCAGGGGGTGTGGCCTATGCAAATAAATTATGCTAATAAGTTATGCTAATAAGCTCCTGCACCTCTTTTTCTACGAAATGACCCCTGTTTATCTGGAAAGATTATCTGCAACTCTCAGCAAGGCTTACGCCTCCAGTGCTGAGATTCCAAAACTCTGGGTCAGGCTATGTTAATCTGCCAGGATGGGATCGCAAGAGTCTTTGGAAAGTTTAAGACACTATACATGAGCTGTGTCTACCTCTGTCAACAGATGGGGGAAATTTATACCAAAATGGGGATTCCCTGATGCTGTGTCTGGTGTGTGGGGAGAGAATCTGGGGACCATCCCCATTGAGTTCCAGTAGACTAGGCAAAGATTAGAATGGGAGAAAATGCTATATTTTATTTATTTATTTATTTTATTAATTCAATTTATACCCCACCCTCCCGGCCGGAGCAGCTTCAGGGCAGCTTACATTAAAACACATGTAAAGGTTCCCTTGCTTGAAAGCCAGTCGAGTCCGACTCGAGGGTTGCGGTGCTCATCTCCGTTTCAAAGCCAAAGAGCCAGCGCTGTCCGAAGACGTTTCCGTGGTAATGTGGCCGGCATGACTAAACACCAAGGTGCATGGAACGCTGTTACCTTCCCACCGAAGTGGTTCCTATTTATCTACTTGCAATTTCTTGCTTTCGAACTGCTAGGTTGGCAGGAGCTGGAACTAGAGACGGGAGCTCACTCCGTCATGCGGCACCCAGGTCTCGAACTGCTGAACTACTGACCTTCCACAGCCTGCAGTTCAGCGTCTTAACTACTTGAGCCACCGCAGCTCCTTAAAACACATATACATGCAATTAAAATCATTCATGAAACAATTTCCTAAAATGCCGGTACAATACTCAGATAAAGTGCAAGAGCTTAGGTGACAGTCCTGATGGAATCCTCATCAGCTCAATTTGATCAGCTATTTTATGTGGCGAGGAAGGTGCCCTGATTCATAAAATGACCAGCCCCTGCAAAAAAAACCCCAACCCAAACCCAGCTATGCATAAAAAGTTCATTATAGTACATTTCTGTAAAATGTATATGAATTCTGGCAACCCTCTGTTTTTCTTGATGGTGCTCCTGAGGAGAAACTAGTCCAATAAATAAGGTATTTATTTCGAATCGTAGAGTTGGAAGGGACCTCCAGGGTCATCTAGAGTCCAGCCCCCTGCACAAGGCAGGAGATTCATAAATATGTTCTCTCCCCCCCCCCATGACCCCCATCCCGTTCCATGCCCATAAGATGCCAAAAAACCTCCAGGATCCCCAGCCAAACTGGCCTGGTGAAAAATTGCTGCCTGACCCCAGAGTGGCGATCGGCATTACCCCGAGCATAAAAGAAAGGCCCACAAGACCTAAGCACTGATGCGCAACCCTCCTTGCTCTCTCTCTCCCACAGCCTGCATAGGTTCACAGAATCAGCATTGTGGACAGATGGCCGTTTAGCCTCTGCTTGAAAACCTCCAAAAGTGGAGAGCCCACCACCTCCCAAAGAAGCCTGTTCCACTGAGGAACTGCTCTAACTGTCTGGAAGTTCTTCCGAATGGTTAGCTGAAAACTCTTCTGATTTAATTTCAACCCTTTGGTTCTGGTCCGACCGTCTGGGGTCTTACTGAGAGACAGTGTGGGCTAATGGTTAAGAGTGGTGGGCTCTAATCTGGAGAACCGGATTTCGTTCCCCGTTGCTCTGCATGAATCCTCCTTGGTGACATTGGGCCGGCCGCAGTTCTTTCAGACGTCTCTCAAGTCAACCTACCTCACAAGGTGCCTGTTGTAGGGAGAGGAAGGGAGAGGAGATTATAAACTGTTTGGAGGCTCCTTAGGGTAGAGAAAAGCGGTATGTAAAAACCAGCTCTGCTGCTTCTTCAACTGTGCTGTTCCGTAGTTACGAAGAGGATCCCTGCCCCTTGCTCTGAAAGCAGACAGAGAAAGCGTGTAAACTGTGGTTCCAGTTTTACTCCAGGGGAAACGAGGCTGTGGGAGGGATACCAAAAGGTTTGGCAAGCATGTCTCACACAGAATCATTTAAGATCAAATGTAGGGGGATACATCATCTGATCTCCCGGCCCTTTGTACAAAAACTTCAAAACACTTGTGTATGTGCGTGTTGTGACTCTGGTTTTAATTAGAGCCATAACACTTTGCTGCTTTCCTACTCTACACTGTGTACCCGCCCGCCCCCAAAGACTCTATTAGCTCTTCAGGAAGGGGGGGGGGGAATAAAGCCATGATACAGGCTGCTATAAATTGTTTTTTAAATTGTGCCTTATTTCCCACATCATATCTGTGTTGCCTCTTAGTCTTGGAACCAGCGGGTACATGCTGCTGTACCTCTTGAGAATCCTCTGCTCATAGAACGACCCTGTTTGATTTAAGGTTAACAGCTTCCTACACAGCTCAACCCTTTTGGTGTAGGGGTTAAGAGCGTGGACTCTAATCTGGGAGAACCGGGTTTGATTCCCCGCTCCTCCACATGCAGCTGCTGGTGTGACCTTGGGTCAGTCGCAAGTTCTTTCAGAGCTGTTCTCTCACGAGCAGTTCTTGAGAGACTCTTTCAGCCCCACCTACCTCACAGGGTGTCTGCGGTGGGGAGGGGAAGGAAAAGGAGATTGTAAGCCGCTCTGCGACTCCTTTGGGTAGTGAAGGGTGGGGTATAAATCCAGTCTCTTCTTCTTTTTCTTCTTTTGCGTTTGACAGTTGTGCAAGGGACTGTCTTTCAACGGGATCCAATTTTCCTGGATTGTAGACACAGTAATGCAAAGAAACTCCGCCTTGGGCTGGGGGAAATATGGCACCTCTTGTTCCACCTCATGTTTATTCCACCCTTTCTCCAAGGCTCTCTTGGCAACATACATAATTTCCCCTTCCTCTGTTTGTATCATCACAACAAGCCTGTGAGACTGGTTAGGCTGACAGAGAGGGACTAGGCCAAAGTCACCCAACTGAACTTCATGAGTGAGTGGGGATTTGAACTGGACCCACCACCGCTTAGGGTTCCCAATCTCCATGTGGGGGCTGGAGATCTCCCAAAATTACACCTGACCTCCAGATGAGAGAGGAGAAAATGGCTGCCTTGGAGGGTGGGCTCTATGGGGTTAGGCATTATACCCCTCTGAGGTCCCTCCCTGGGCTACACCCCCAAATCTCCAGGGGTCTCCCCAAGCAGCAGTTGGCAACTCTATTGGCACTGCACGAAGGAGTCTCAGAGCGGCTTACAAACTCCTTTCCCTTCCCCTCCCCACAGCAGACACCCTGTGAGGTAGGTGGGGCTGAGAGAGCTCTGACAGAAACTGCTCTTTTTTCAAGAACAGCTCTTATCAGAACTACGGCTTGCCCAAGGTCTTCCATCCAGGTGCAAGTGGAGGAGTGGAGAATCAAACCCGGTTCTCCCAGATTAGAGTCCCGCGATTTTAACCACTACACCAAACTTGCTCTCTGATGCCTGTTGGATTCATGTTGTGGCCTTGGATTCCGCCATCCTGATTTGATGAGTAGGGGCCGTGATGGCTCAGTGGTTAAGATACTGAACTGCAGACCGGAAGGTCAGTAGTTCAGCAGTTTGAGACCCAAGTACTGCATGACAGAGTGAGCTCGCGTCTCTGGTCCCAGCTCCTGCCAACCTAGCAGTTCGAAAGCAAGAAATTGCAAGCAGATAAATAGGTACTGCTTCGGTGGGAAGGCAACAGTGTTCCGTGCGCCTCAGCCTCTAGTCATGCCGGCCACATGACCACAGAAACGTCTTTGGACAGCGCTGGCTCTTCGGCTTGGAAACAGAGATGAGCACCACATCCTAGAGTCAGATTCGACTGGCTTTCAAGCAAGGGAAACCTTTTTTATTCCCATCTTACAGATGAAAAAACTGCGGCCGAGCCAGGTTTTTCATCTCTAATATGGGAATGCTACACTCATGGAAAGACTCACCTTTTGATGATCTTCTTTAGTTGGCAGGCTTGCCTTTAGTGGTGAGAAAAAGACCATCCCCACAGCTGTTCCGCCTAGTGACTGGGCTGGAGCGTCTGGTCTCTAGGTGAATATATAGCCCTAGGTCAGGGCCCAGCCAGCAGCCGGAACAGCCTGTCTGGGATGAGTATTCAGCTGCCCTGTCAACCATCCAGGAAGAAGTCTCTCCCTCAGGGGTACCCGCTTTCTGCCTTCTTTTTCGCAGGCTGGTGTTTTTCTTTTTCCAATTCTCTGTTAATCTCCTACGTTCACAGGGGAGAGGTTTGCTGAGCAGGTACAAGGGGGAGGCCTTGCAAATAGAAAGCCCTTATTAGGCACAGTTTTGTTTTCTTTGCAGTCACCTGCGGTGGGGGGCCCAGTGGGGGGTTTCCCACCCCTCTGCCTGCATTTTGCTCATTCCCGCTGGCTGGGAAGGGGTGGGGAGAGGAAGAAGCTGGGGGATGAGGTCATACAGAGAAGAGTATAAAACTTTCCCTCTGCGGCGGTTGAAACAGAAGGCAAGTGTGCTCCCTCCAGGCAGGGGAGGATCTGTCTCTGCCACAGGTGGCGCATTGCTTAGAACATCGAACAGCATTCCAGCCAAGAGCTGGACCTCCACAAGAGTTGGACCTCCAACGCAGGCGGCTCCTGTTCCCACCACAAGCCAGCGGGCCACAGGACTGAGTGATACTCGTATGTAGGGCTGTCATTCCAAAAGTTTACTCCATCACTCCTCGTCCCGCAACCCTGCTGCCTTGGTGACTGGCTGTTGCGTTGCTTAGATACCACATTGTTGCTGTTGTCCCGGAGACCCTTCGGCGGATACCTCTGTTACCCAGCAATCCAAAGCCAGCTTCCCCTGTCCACCTGAGGATGCCAGGTGAGTGAAAATGGCAGAGAGTGACAAACTCGTCTGCTGTTGCGTTCACACTATGTTAACACTGGTGCTTTGAACTAAGTAAATGTGAGCCAGCAAGACCCAGTTAGAATGTGATCTATGCTATAGCCCAGGTTACATGCTATGGTTATTTACATTGTTATACCCTGCTCTTCTCCCTAATGAGGCTCCAAAGCGGCTTACAACATTGTCCTCTCCTGAACTGCTTTGAATTCTGCTTGATCCTCACAGACAGACAGACGGAAAGCTGTAGGGGATTGTAGCATCTCTGCCTGTTTTTCTCCATACATTGCTTATCTCTCTTGTAACAGCTAACTTTCCATAGGGATGAAAAGGGGTTATTGTAAATTATACCTTGTTTTTCCCTCTGATGGGGACCCAAAGCTGTTGACATCGTCTTTCTCCTTTTCTCTGTCTATTTGTTTATTTAAAACAATTGTGTGCCACCTTTCCACCTGACCTAACCCAGGATCCCCAAGGTGGTGAACAATCAAAACAGTGTTAGAATTCAAGTGAGAGCCAGTTTGGTGTCGTGGTTAAGAGCATGGACTCTAATCTGGAGAACTGGGTTTGATTCCCCACTCCTCCACATGCAGCCAGCTGGGTGACCTTGGGTCAGTCACAGCTCTCTCAGAGGTCTCTCAGCCCCACCTACCTCACAGGCAGTGTTCCCTCTAAGCTGAGTTAGCGTGAGCGAGCTCACAGTTTTTTACCCTCTGGCTCACACATTTTAGTCTTAGCTCAGGAAGGATGGCTCCAGAGCAAACTAATTTATGCAGTAACCAAATCTCTCGCTCACAGTTTTAATGCTAGTAGCTTACAAAGTAGGAATTTTTGCTCACAAGACTCCACATCTTAGAGGGAGCATTGCTCACAGGGTGTCTGTTGTGGGGAGAGGAAGGGAAAGGAGATTGTAAGCCGCTCTGAGACGCCGAGTGAAGGGCGGGGTATAAATCCAATCGCATCTTCACCTTTGTCTTCTTCTAAATACATCTTAAATATTTAAAACCAATAAAATACAAACACAGACACACAGGCAGGGAGGATGGCCACTGAGAGCCGAACAAAAAGGAACAAAAGTCTTCACCCGCAGGTGGAAGACAACAATAGATGGAGACAGGCAGGTCTCCCTGGGGAGGGAGTGCCAAAGTTTTGGGGCTACGGCTGAGAAGCCTCTCTCTCGGCTTGCCGTCCATCTACGATCTGACGATGGAGGCATCCAAAGCAGGATCTCTGAAGATCACCAGAGTGGTTGGTTAGGCTCATATGGGAGTGGGCAGTCCTTATCTTCTCCTCACACAGCGAGGCCCCTGTGAGGCGAGGGGGGGGGTGAGGCAGAGTAACTTGTCCGAGATCATCCCCGCAAGCTTCCATGGCAGAGTGGGGATTTGAATCTGGGTCCCCCAGGTCTTGGTCCACCCCCTTAACCACCGTACCACACAGGCTTTCCATGATCACTAGAGGAGAAACAGGAAAAGCTTAGGTCGACCACTGAGCAGGGAAAGGTAGGCAGAGGCTCTATGACTCCTCCCATCTTTCTCTACCTGTTTCGGGGCCCAGCAATGGCGACCTGGACTCAGGCTGCCAGCTCTGGTTTGGGAAATACTTGGGAGATTTGGGGGGTGAAACCTGAGGAGGGTGGGGTTTGGGGTAGGGTTGCCAAGTCTGGGTTTGAAAATACCTGGAGACTTTGGGGGTGGAGCCAGGAGAGGGCGTGGTTTGGGGAGGGGGAGGGTCCTCAGCATAGTACAAGGCCACAGAGTCCACCCTTCATAGCAGCCATTTTCTCCAGGGGAGCTGATCTCTTGTGGCTGGGGATCAGTTGTAAAAGCGGGAGATCCCCAGGCCCCACCTGGAGGCTGGAAGCCCTAGTTTGGGGAGAGGAGGGACTTCAATGGGGGTTATAATGCCATAGAGTCCACCTTCCAGAGCAGCCATTTCCCCCAGAGGAACTGATCTCTGTTGTCTGGAGATCAATTAGAATCCCAAGAGACCACCAGCCACCATCTGGAGGTTGGCAACCCTATAGGCTATTTTTCAGTAGCCACATGTTTGGGTGCTTTTAGGCAAGCCGTTCTTCTGTTTTAGGCCTTATCAGTCTGCCTGCTCTGAGGGAGTAAGAATACCAGCCTGTTTTATGGGAATGTGGCAAGAATAGCTAAAACGATCTGGCTGAAGCTCCTTCAGGCACTTGATTTATGCGACAGAAATGTAAAATTGTCGCCTGCTTTCCTTTCGTCAGGACCCACTAAAACGCCACAAACCGATGGGGAAATTTCTGAGATCGTCAGAATTCCTTTTCAGGCTGAATGTGAATTTAAAAAAATAATAATAAAGGGGGGAAAAGACATTATCGGGCATGACACCCACACACACACACACACACACACAAATCCCCCACAAGCAATTAGTAATAAACTCAAAATTTAGAAAAAAACAAACAGCAACCCTTGTAAAGGAATAGAATGACATAGTCTACCATTCCAAGGCCGATTGAGTCATCCTGTCCCTCTTTCTCCATTCACGAACCATCGGCATTGCCTGTGCCATACGTGCAAACAGCATGCTAAATTGTGCCTCCATGTCCAGAGGCAGGCTACCTCTGAATGCAAAGCCAAGACAATAAACAGCAGGGGGGAAGAGTGAGGTTTCCTTTGTGCCCTGTGTGTGAACTTCCCACAGCCAGCAACAAACCACTAGGTTAGATGAAGCTTTTCCCCCTAATTCTGCTGGGCTTTTTTTCTGTTCTCAGAGTTCCATAGGAACCCCCACAGAAGGATGTTTGTGCTGTCTGTGTTTGTGTGAACTTTGGGCGGAGGAGGAGGAATCGCTGTGTTGGTTCTCCGGAATGTGGAGGAAAAGATTATGTTTCGCAGGGAGGCAGAACAAACTATTTAGCTGGCAGCAGCTAAGCCAGGGTGTCCTCAGTGCTTAAAAAAGTAGTGCTAAAGTCGTCCAAATGGTTTCTTTTGTGTATCTCAAAGAGGGTCACTGGGAGGCGGGGTTACCAGCTCCCACTTGGAAAATACCTGGAGATTTTTGGGGAAGAGCCTAGGAAGGGCAGGATTTGGACCATAATGCCATAGAATCCACTTTCCAAAGAGCCATTTTCTCCAGGAGAACGGATCTCTTTTACCTGAAGACCAGTGTTCCCTCTAAGCTGAGTTAGTGTGAGCTAGCTCACAGTTTTTTAGCCTCTCACATTTTTGTCTTCTCTCAGGAAGGGATGGCTCCAGAGCAAACTAATTTATGCAGGTGCCATGCTTTATAAGTAAACTTCCCACAGCCAGCAACAAACCACTAGATCAGATGAAGCTTTTTTCCCTAATTCTGCTGGGCTTTTTTTTCTGTTCTCAGAGTTCTGTAGGAACCCCCACATAATTTATGCAGTAGCCAAATTGATCGCTCACAACCTTAATGCCAGTAGCTCACAAAGTAGAATTTTTGCTCACAAGACTCCACAGCGTAGAGTGAGCAGTGCTGAAGGCTAGTGGTAACTCTGGGAGATCTCCAGGCCACACCTGGAGGTTGCCAACCCTAGTGGGAAGGTCTTGTACTATGTTCTATTGGCCTAGCCACTGACAGTCTTCCTCAATAATTTACCTGAGGCTTCACCAAGCATGGTCCACACACACTTTCACACATATCTTGGCAGTCATTAGGAGGAGAAGTTTGCTTGGTGTGGTGGTGAAGTGCGCAGACTCTAATTTAGGAGAACCGGGTTTGATTCCCCACTCTTCCACTTGCAAGCCATAGTTCTGTCAGAGCTGTTCGTGAAAGGGCAGTTCTTGAAAGAGCTCTCTCAGCCCCACCTACCTCACAGGGTGTCTGTTGTGGGGAGGGGAAGGGAAAGGAGTCTGTAAGCTGCTCTGAGACTCTGAGCGAAGGGTGGGGTATATATCCGATCTCTTCTTCTCTTCTTTGGTTGATGCAAAGGAAACTGAAAGTCCTTTCTAACTTAATTTCATGAGCCAGTGTGGTGTAGTGGTTGAAGCTTTTTTCCCTAATTCTGCTGGGCTTTTTTTTCTGTTCTCAGAGTTCTGTAGGAACCCCCACAAGAAGGATGTTTGTGCTGTCTGTGTTTGTGTGAACTTTGGGCGGAGGAGGAGGAATCGCTGTGTTGGTTCTCCGGAATGTGGAGGAAAAGATTATGTTTCGCAGGGAGGCAGAACAAACTATTTAGCTGGCAGCAGCTAAGCCAGGGTGTCCTCAGTGCTTAAAAAAGTAGTGCTAAAGTCGTCCAAATGGTTTCTTTTGTGTATCTTAAGGGTCACTGGGAGGCGGGGTTACCAGCTCCCACTTGGAAAATACCTGGAGATTTTTGGGGAAGAGCCTAGGAAGGGCAGGATTTGGACCATAATGCCATAGAATCCACTTTCCAAAGAGCCATTTTCTCCAGGAGAACGGATCTCTTTTACCTGAAGACCAGTGTTCCCTCTAAGCTGAGTTAGTGTGAGCTAGCTCACAGTTTTTTAGCCTCTCACATTTTTGTCTTCTCTCAGGAAGGGATGGCTCCAGAGCAAACTAATTTATGCAGGTGCCATGCTTTATAAGTATCCTACTGCATATGTATGAGACTGCTTTATACTTAGTCAGACTTTTGGTCCAGATAACTCAATATTCTCTGACTGCCAGCAGCTCTCCAAGGTCTCTAGCAGAGAGAAGTTCTACTTCCTGCCAAACATCTGCCCTTGAGCTCCTGTAACTGCCAGAGCCTTCTGTTTTTGAAGCAGATGTTCTATCACTGAGCCTCTTCCTTTCTCACACTCATCTTGTGTGTCCCCCCCACACCCCCAACTGTTTGTTCTCTCTGTTAACAGGAACCATGCGGATCCAAAGACTATTTATGGTAGCCATCTGGATCCTGGTGCTGTGCCCTCGGGGTTCCCCGACAAGCTTTGGACACCCTCTGCCTGTACCCCTCAAAGATAATTACTCTCCTCCCTCAGGAAGCAACACTCCGGTGGTGATCAAGGACAAGCCTTCGCTGCCTGCTTCTTCCAAATCTTCTCAAGAAGACACGGATTATTATGATGACGACTATCCTTTCACCGTGGATCCTCTGGAAACTCCCCGCTCTCCACAGGCACCCCCTCCGCACTGTGACTACCACCGCTGCCACCATCTTCAAGTACCCTGCGCCGAGCTGCAAAAAGCCAGTGGGTGCTTGTGTCCGGGGATCACAAGACCGGACGTGGCCCCAGAGGCACCACACCTGCAAACCATCCACGTGAGCGAGGGTGGCGCCAGTTTGCATTGGTGTGCGCCGTCCTCTCCCGTAGAGCAATACCACGTGACATACCAGGTGGTCGGGGAGGCCCCTGCCTCCGGCCCAGCCCTCAACAGCACCTTCCGACTGGCGACGATATCGGGGTTATTACCCAATAAGCAATATTTGGTCTGCGTTGTGGCTTCCAACCAGGCCGGTCGCAGCCGCACAGACGACGGAGAGCAGGAGCACGGGCCCTGCCGCTTGGTCCAGACCCCTCCCCGTCAGATGCCCTATGTCTATGTAGCGGCAGGACTGGCTGCCACCCTGGTCCTCATAGTGATCTCTGCCCTGGTCTGGCATTTCTGCATGCGCCGGAGGAAACATCTGCTCCACGGATCCCGGGACAATATCTTGGATGGTGAGCCGGGCCCGAGTGGCACCACAAACACCACTTTCCGGAGCGAGGAACAATTATAACAGGGGCTCCACTCTGAAGTGGCATGGACCATGCAGACATTTCTTATAGGCGTGGGAGAAGAACGGGCTCTTAAGGTTCTTGCCTTCGGCCGTGGAGGTATCATCTGTCTGATAACGCTGTGGAAAGGGGAAAACTTTTTGCAACTCCACAGCTTTTTATCAAAAGCAGGCACTGTCTCCGGGATGGATGAAGAGCCCACTTTTTTGTTACCGATACTGAATTTGCATATATCCATCCCCAAGAGCTCTTGGTTTATCGGAAGGTGTTGACGCACAACGGTGGCAATTGGGCCAGCCTCTCAGACATTGCCACATAAATGTACTCAGGGAGAAAAGAGACACACACACAATTAACTCAGCCCCTCCCCACGCCATCAATCCAGCACGAAGCCTCCGGATTCTGCCGTCTTAGAGTGACCAAAAACTAGTGGGGTTGGATGCGAGGAGTAGAAATGCAAAGAGACTTCCTTAAGAGAAGGGTGTTGTATGATTTCTGTCTATTTATATATTTATTATTAAAGTCCATAAAGGAAATGATAGCGGTACAAAGGTGACGGGAGGGGGTAAAACATTAGGGTTATTGACCTAAAGGTGGTACCTGGAGACAGGGGTCATTTCCTGTGGGAGCGCACAGGAGCGGAGCTCCGGCAGTAAGGAGCCCAGGGGGTGGGCACATGCAACAAGCCCCGCCCCCTGCTCCCAGCAGCCCTCAGTTGGGCCATGAGGAGCAAGAAGCAGCCAGGTAAGTTGCAGAGCCACCCCTCCGGCTCGCCTTCAGGTACAAGCTCTCCCTCCTCTGTGAGGGCAGATCTGCACGTTCCCCATCCCCCAATAGCTAGCAATCTAAAACAGTCCAGTGGAGCCTAAGCGGTGGGTGTTGCCTTCTGACACACTTCCGGTGATGTCAGGGGGTGTGGCATATGCAAATAAGTTATTCTAATGAGCTCCTGCACCTCTTTTTCTTCGAAAAGACCCCTGCCTGGAGATCTGGGATTGCAACTGATCTTCAAATGACAAAGATCAGTTCCCCTGGAGAAAATAAATGTTTTGGCGTGTGGGTTCTGACTGAGATCCCCAGGCTCTACCCTCAGATCTCCAGGAATATCCAAACCCAGATTTGGCATCCCTGAGAAACACAGAGGTGGTGAGAGCTGAAAAGAAATACCTTGTTCTGTCCATGGTAGAGAGAATATATATTCCAAAGGTGTCATGTTTTATAGGAATGCTGGAGATAGAAAAGCACATTCTAGCTCATCCAGAAGCAACCTGGGCAGTTATGAACAAGTCAAAGCCTCTTGTGGTCCATCCACACTTACCAGCTGATATTGGTTTACCTGTTATGGCTTCCCCTACAGCATCTTGGGAATCGTAGTTCGATGAGGGTGTTCCAACCAGCATACTCCCCTTAAGAGCTATAGTATTCAGGGTTCTTTGGGGAGGGGAAAGGGCTGTTTAAAGCCATTTATTCCATAGGTGTACATTTCAGATGGGCTGGATCCCACACAACGAAGGCTGGCACTTTCTTCTGGTGCAAGGTGCATCAGCAGATAGCTCCAACTATGTGTCAGAGGAAAATACCAGAGCAGAAGGTTCTAGCACAATATACCTAAGCTCAGTCTGAGTTTCTGTCAGTTTAATTGTCATTGCTTCATCAAGAATCCTGAAAACTGTCATGTTATGAGAAGCTGCCCGTTTGGGATTCCTAACTTTCTCACGTTGTACAACAATTATTTTATTTGAGAACCACCTTGAACATGGGTAGAGAAGGCCATATGTAAATTCATTCAAAACCGGAAAGAGGGGATCACTGTTTGAGCAATTTGTGATGTAAATACGCCTTTAGACTCGCTTATTTCACAAGGGTCCAGTAAAGATATTTTTTAATCCATTCTGAACTTTTATGGGGGTGGGTGGGGGGTCGGAGTTTAAAAGTAATAACACAACCATTTGTTTTGTTATAAGCCAATTTCCTCATCATTAGAGCAGTGTGATATTTCACACCATTTTATGTAGAGGGGAAATAACTAAGAAACCACAAGAGCCTTGCTGGATCAGATGCAGTCATCCATCTAGCCCTGTTTCACACGGCCAGTTACTCTGGAGGTCCAACAACAGGGCATAGAGGATGAGGCCTTTCCCCGATGCTGCCGCCTAGCACTGGTATTAGGTTTGCTGCCTCTGGTTATGGAGATTCTATGGCTAGTAGCTGCTGACAGATCTGTTTAATCCTAATTGGGAATCTTGTTGGTACCCTAAAGGCTAACTTTTTATTGTAGCATCATATTAGATTTCTAGGGGTAAGGCCAGTGTGATCTCATAAGATTTTGGAAGCTAAGCAGGGCTGGCCCTGGTTAGTATTTGGATGGGAGACCTCCAAGAATTCTGTGTCCACTATGCAGAGGAAGGCCATGGCAAACTGTCTCTTGCCTTGAAAGCCCTCTGGTGTTACCATTGCTATGACTTCACAGAAACTTACACACACACAATGTTGAATACTTTACTCCCAGGTACAGTGAAGCTATCTTTATGCACGCACACCCCTGCTCAATTTCTTGTTCCTTTTGTGCTTTATGATACGGAACTAGAGGCCAAGAGACTGTCTCCTTGCCCAGCTAATTTTTCACAACAGTGCATGGCTGCTAATTTGTTGTCATTCAAGGGAACAGAATGGAATCAATAAATGAAATCAATAAAATCCCAAATGATCAAGCACTCTGGTCTCATTCCCTTCTTGTCCTGCTCACTCTCAGATTGGCTATGAGAACAGGATCAACTCTGCTTGGTCCTCACCCTCCCAGTATATGTTCTGGGCCGGGAGTTTCCGTTGAGAGCATTTCTTGCGCAGTCGAGAAGTTGTTGAACTGCAGCCTGGAAAACGTGATGTTTTCCAGATGCGCATTGAAGGAATTGATGGGAACATCTGGAAATTGAGTGCCTACTTCTTGCTAGGACAACATGTCCCCATAGGCTGCTGGGAATATTGGGGGCTAACTTGGTCTGGTTTTCTCCTGTCTTGGAAGGAACTGTGGGAAAGTATTCCTGGTGGGTCAGCTTTCACCTTCTCACCAACCGGGAATATTGGCATTTATACTTTAGTAGGTGAATTCATTCTGGAAGAAGTATGGGTCCAGTGTGAGATCTTTTTAGTAACACAACTATAGCGGGATTTATAATAAATGGGGCATGTGAGCAAATGGTGTGGGATGATATAGAAGGGCAGGCGGTCCACAGCTGAAGATAATAAATGGCTAGAAAGAAACGTGCTTCGAGACAAGCAGGCGTCAGCAGAACCATATGGAAGATCTGTCACATTTCCAAGGTGGCTTTTGAAGAAATGAATGGGGAAATCTGTGAATCAGTCATTGCCACCAGAAATGTCCATAATCCTGTTGCCAAGCCACAGTATTTTACTGGCTATGAACTGTTAGTGTCTGGAGTTGTCAGCTCCAAGTTCAGAAATTCCTGGAGATTTAGGGGGTGAAGCCTGGGTAGGGCAGGGTTTGGGAAGGGGAAGGAACCTGAGGAAGGTATAGTTTTTATTTATTTTGTTTATTAAAATGTTCCTTTCCTAGTTTATGGAATCCAACCTCTGAAACTGCCATTTTCTCCAGGGAAACTGATCGTTCGTGTCTAGAGCTCAGGTGTAATTCTAGGAAAAGTACAGCCCCCTACCTGGAGGCTAGCAGTCCTATAACAGTGTCAAACATACTGAACAGCCCTTCCGATTAAAAGCATTTACCTAGTTCCTTTGATTAAAAAAATAAAATCAACTCTAGTGATATTTTTATCCCAAAAGCCCCCTAACCTTAACTCACGCAATTGTCATAGCAAAAGGGGGATTTTTTTTTTGGCCAGGATGACTGAATAAGCTGCAAACCTATGCAGCAGCAGCAGAACTGGAAGCAGCAGCAGAAGGATGACTGAAACACAACATGGGCAGTAGTGATTGTGAAAAATCCAGGCAGACATATGGGGAGGGTGTCAAGGTTCGCATGCTGGGTGGGGCCAGGTCAGGGTTCAGAACACAGCTGCTGGGTCGGGGGAACCAGTGCCTGTTGATTTTCCTCCCAATGGAAACTCTCATGCCACAAATTGAAGAGCCCCCTCCAAATGACTTCTACGCAGGTTGCATCAGGGTTCCTGATGGCTGGTGCGGCAGCTGGTCCCAGCCTGATTATGGCCCCATTACGGAAGTGTCAGTGCCGGAAGGATGTTGGCTCATATTTGCATTCCTCATATACGACTACGGCAGCAAGCTCGGGGCATTAGATTCCCTCTCATATTTTAGGTCAAGCGTGGAACCGACACTTGCTCAGGGCTTGCAATTCACACGTCATCTTGATAATTCATACAACTGCCTTATGAGGCAGGTCAGTATCCGTCAGCCCCACATTGATGAAGATTAGGGTTAGGGGATTAGGGTTGCCAGCTCTGAGTAGGGAAATACCTGGAGATTTTGGGGGTGGAGCCTGGGGAGGGGAGGGGCCTCAGCAGGGTGTCTAGCCATAGAGCCCGCCCCCCTAAGCAGCCATTTTCTCCAGGGAGACTGATCTCTCTCATTTGGAGATCAGTTGTAATAATGGGAGATCTCCAGGCCCCACCTGGAGGATGGCAACTCTACATGGGTCATCTGGATAGCTGGATGGCCCTCGGGCTGGCTGAGCGAAGTGCCCTTTGGGGGACATACCAGGAGAGGAGGTCCTTCAGATACGCTGGTCGCAAACTGTTTAGGGCTTTAAATGTCAGCACCATAACCTTCAACTGGGAGCCAATGCAGCTGGTGTAGCACCGGTTGTATTTGTGCTCTAACTGGTGTCTCGTCCCCATAAAGCACATGGAGCTCCAGGCCCCACTTGGAGGTTGGCAACCATAGTGGAGATTCAGGCTGAACGAATAGTGGCTGGCCTAAACTGAGGCAGCGTTTGAACCAGAGGGTTCTCAGATCACACTCACCGACGGAAATCACATGTAACTTTTAAAGGCCTTTAGCTAGAACTGGGGCATCTCCCCCTCCTGTCAGGCCAGCCCATATCAGTTAATGAAGGTTAATATAAGCTGCGATCATACGCACAATTAGACCCGACATAGGTGCGAATGCCAGGCAGATTTAAAGGGTGCGACCAGACAACAACATCTGGGAAGCACCCCGCCGCCGTCAGCAACCCGTTTTGCTCCGCCTCAGAAGCGGAGCTAAAAGACACCGGGGAAAACCAGGTAATAAACGGGTTGCAACGGGCCCCGGACAGACTTTCCAGTGTCTGATCGCTCCAACGCGCTCTCATGGCATCGGGGTGGTCTGATCAGGCCATCCCAACTCCATGCCATTGTCCCCCTGCCCCCCCGTAGTATGCACATCTTCGCAAACTCCATAGGGAGCCCTCGGTGCGGAGGTGCGATTCATCAATCTCTCGTTTAAGTGCATGGGGGGGGGGACAGCACAAAAAAGACTCACCCACAGTTGCGTCTGATCACACACTGACGGACTGCACCCGCAGCTTCAAAGGTGATTGTGCAACTGTGGGTCAAATTCCTCCAGAAGAAATAGCCTCGCTCCCCCCCCCATTTTTTCTGGCACGTCTGACCGCAGCCATATACTATTTCCCATACGTGCTTCTTCCAGCAAGTGAACAAGGAGACACCATCCTCATG